CAGAGCATTAAATTATTTTTTAACACTAATGCAAAAGTAAAGCATTATATTATTTCTTTAACACTAATGCAAAAGTATTAAATGAATTATTTATTTTAATACAAAAGTATTAGCATTTTCTTAACACTAATGCTAAGCCGCCACCCCTAGGCGGGAGTGTAGAACTTCTATTAATCCACACATACCTCCCCCCCCCCCTAGTTTTTTTTAATAACACCTGGAATTTGTTTTATATTAAAATGGAAAGAAAATTGAAGAACTCTTCTTTACTAGACGTTCTTTTGGCGCAATTAATAAAAATTAACGTATAGATATTCGTTCTCTATTTAATGGAAAAGCTTTTTAGAAACTTCAAGAGGCTTTTTTTGTCATACAAAGAAAGAATATTTTGAAATGTGTATTCGATTTCTAAATTTTATTTCTAACAATCGATAAATATCCGATATAATTTATCGAAAAGAAAATTTGATTTGTCCGATTTATCCAAGTAATATTAACATTTGACCTTTCTTTCGAAAATAAAATCTAGTCAAACTATAACATTATTTCACTTTATTTTCTTGATCTTTTTCTTCTATCTATTCGAATATCGGACCCTAGATTGATATGTACATTTGTCAAGAAAAATACAAAATGACTGGATTAACTAACAGAACAAAAGGAGAGATGTGTATTTAAAGATATCGAAATATGTTAATATTCACTTGTTTATTCGTATTCTATTCATTGAAAGTGATCTACATATTCGTTATTATTTTATTTGTACAAGATCCAAAAGTATTTAAACGTCATTGTTCAGCTTATATTTTATTTACGATTGAACAAAATGTAATCAAGTTAAAGCAATTATTTCCCAATGAAATACTTTTGTTGAACTAAATATTTAATTTTAGAGTAAAACTTCTGACTTATCTTCAACAAATATTAGTTTAATTAGATATTTTGCAATTGAAGAAAATGCCAGCTAAAAAAGAAGAAATTATTGCTGATTCAAAAGATTTTTTTGAATGTGGATGTCGGTGTATGGGTTTGGGTATGCGATGTTTGTGTAAACAGGATCGACACCAACACCCACACGCATCTTTGAAATAATAATTAATTATTTACAGTATAATTATTAAAGATTATATGAGATAAAATTATTAACAAAAACAAAATTCTGATTATTCAATAACGAATGTGTCTATTTACATTTAACGGAAATAAAAGAAAAAAAATCCCTTGCTTATCATAATAAACAATAAATTAAAAGCAATAATTCTTGATTATCAATAATGATAAAATTATCTTTTAATTTAAATAATGTAAAACATCATTTTCATTTGAATCTCGTTTAAGATATTCTTTTTCAATTAATATATCAATACATTTCTAAAATAATACAAAAATTTTATTTCAATATAAATTAAAAATAAAATTTACTTTAATTAAACAAACTTCAGGTTTAAAATAAAAGCTTAATTATTGAATAACTTCTTGAATTAATAATGAATGTTTTAATGTTTATCGAGCTTTCATTATTTGAACAATTGATGCTTGAATACTCATTTGATGATCTTCAAGCCTATTGTGTCAGGCACATTTTCGTTATCTTTTTGTTTAATCGATTTTATTGGAACATTTAAATTTATTCGTAAATTTTTACTAGAAAAATTTCAAATAATCGATTAAAAACTTTTGGTAAAGAAATATTTACCTTATAAAATCAGTTGCCAATCGAATTGAATAATTTTCTTTAATATCACTATCGTTTAAATATTCATCTTCACTGATTTCTTTACATATTAATATTTTACTTTTTAATAAACCAGAAAGAATTTGACGTAATAATTCAGACTTAATTTGTGTTTCATCTTGTATTTGTTTGACTTTCCAATTTAATGTTTTATTAAATAATAATAAAATAACCATTTGATATATTGATACCTTTTTCAACAATAAATTCTATTTTAGATACGAAAGATAATCTGTTCTTACTTGTAATGTATATTTTTGTGAAGTAAAAAATGTTTGTAGTTCACCTTTTGAATGTTGATGAACCCATGTTAATTTCCGTCTATGATGACGATCAGTATAAAAATCTATAAAACTATTAAATGTTGATTTTAGCTAAAATAAATGTTTATTGATTAAAAATAAAAAATATTTATGAAAATATTACTTCAATCGGTAAGATTAAGTTTGATGGAATTAAAAATGGCCAAGACTTTGAATTGAGAATAATAGCAGAAAAATTGACTATAATACATAAAAGAGATATTTCTTTAGAAATTCTTTACCCAAGCAGACAAACTTTTGGAAAAACGCGTTTACACGCATACAAAAAAGAGAAAAAAGTTGTTGTGTTTTTCCAGCTCAAGAAACGTGACTGTAATTATGATCGTGCATCTCGAGTATGAAAAAATGGCCACTTTTTCTCTTTTGTAAAACACGATCTAAAAGGAGTGTTGAAGTGTATAGGGTAGAAATTTGGATCCCCCCCCTCCCCACAGACCGTGACAGAGGAGCTCCAAAGACCATCACAGACAGTGACAGAGAAAATCCAAATTCCTTCATTCACAATATAAAAAGCTCCATCGTGTTTCACATTTTTAATCTCGCAGGGATTGCGCTGAAAGCTTTTTTGTATGCATGTAAACGCGTTTTTTGTCTGAAAACGTGATTAAACGCACAAAAAGGGCAGAAAATGAGCGTTTTTAACTCACAGTTGGGAACCTCAAGTGTGAGCTAAAAACGTCCACTTTTTGCTGATTTTAGGTCAATTTCTGTGCATTTAAACGCGTTTTTCCAAAATTTTGTCTGCCTGGGTATTAATCTATTATACCTAGATCAGTTAAATGAGGATTTTTGCAAAACTTTTCATATTCAGACATTAAAGTTTTACTAATAATGATATCTTGATACATTCGTTCAACTGTTGTTGTATATTCATAAGTATAAATTTGCTATAAAATAAAAGAATTCAAGATAAATTATATTTGATAAATTACATGATTATTTATACTTTTAATTTTGAAATAATTAATCCTTCATATTCATTTAATATAATTAATTGATGTAGAAGACGTTTTGATAATAATTTTTGATAAAATTTTAAAAAATGATCTTTATCTTCAATATAATTTAATACAACCTAACAAATAGCATTAGATTAATAATTAAAGAAATAAAAATAAAATAATACCATTATTTCATTGAATTTTTCTTCAAGATCAGTTTCTTCAACGGTTTTATTTCTATAAAATGAAATTGATTAATATTCCATAGTATAAATGAAACTAAGCAAACCCTCGTCTGAGAAGTACATCACAATATCGAGCTAATAATTCAGATGATTTTGTTGTTATACCAGCTGTTTGTGTTATTGTATTATTATTTATAAATTTACTACAAGCCTAAAAATACATCAACAATAGATAAAAATTCAATAAGGAAATTTTACTGTATCTAAAGCAGTAGTAAAACTTTTTTCATTATTAAAAGCATTTTGAATAAGTTTTAAGAATTTTTTATGAATATTAATTATTGTTTCGATATATACTCTTGGATCCTATATATCGAAGAGAAGAAAATAGAAATCAGTAGAAGTAATGTTACACATACATTAATTGCTGTTTCACTAACATGTTCAATAGTATTTATACCCATATCATATATATGATTTTCAACAATTTTATTTAATTCAATAGTTGCATTTGGTATTCTATTGACTAATCTGAATAGAAGGGCCAAATCTATGATAACAAACAATTTCAATATATTCTTCTACAATTATTATAAATCTTAACCTTGATGACTTTCACTATGTAAAAGTATCTTTGCTTCAGCATAAATCAATTGAATTTGGTCATGAATAAGTATTTCTTCAAGATTTTCAATTAATATTTGTAATGTTGATGAATGTAAATATGATTGTGTTCTATGTACTTCTTCATCAAGACGTTGTGCGACCTATTATAAAAATAACAAACAATTATTCGTCATAATATCAGAGAAGAAAATAAAACTCAACTTTTTTTAAATATTCAGTAACAGAATTATTAACAAGAAAAGTTACTGATTCTAATCGATAGAATTCTTCAGTATCTTTTAGAAATTCTATTTCAAAATAATCTTTATATATTGTTAATGCTGGTGATGTCATTCGATTATTATTATCATTATTATTATTAGTGTTATTTTTCGTATCTTCACCAAATCCAAGTGTAACTATAAAAATTCAATAAATAATCAAAAGAAAAGAGGATTGTTGAATTTATTTTACCATAACTTTGAATAACACGACCAATCAAATGAGTATTGATAACTTCATTATTATGTTCACATTTAATTAAATCAAGACAAGCTTTTATTATGTGTTTATTTAATCGATGAAAAACATATTTTTGCCAAATTTTTATTGCCATCTAAATAAGATTTTATTCAAGAATGAAAGATTAAATAAACATACAATAGATATTTCATTCATCTTCTTTTTTTGAGATCGAATTTTACTAGATATTTCATATTTATCCCAAAGATTTGTATAAAAACTAAGAATATCTTCACTATCACTCTAAATTAATTATTTCAAATTTATAGAAATAATTTGATTATTTACTTCTAATGAAACTATTGATTCTTTATTGTTATTGGAAATAGTTAGTTGATCAAATAAAAGTTTTCTTAATATTTCTTTATAAAAATTTTCAAGAAAATTTTCATCTTCTATATAGTTTAAGAAGATCTAAAAAGAAATGAAATAATATAATTAAAGAAGAATAAAATAATACCATTATTTGATTAAATTTTTCAAGATTAATTTTTTCAATTGATTTATTTCTGTAAAATGAATTTAACTAAATTGTAATTAATTAAATCAAACTAAACAAACCCTTCTGTTAGAATTGTATCAAAATATTTAACTAATAAATCGAGTGATTGTTTTATATCATTAGCTATGTATGTCATTCTATTGTAATAAATAAATTGAGAACAAACCTATAATATCCAAAGCAATAGATAAGAAAAAAAATTCTAAGATAAAGTTTTACTTTATTCAGAGCAGTAGTAAAACTTTGTTCATCATTAGAGGCTTGTTGAATTAATTTTAAGAATTTCTTATGAATATCAAAAATTGTTTCGATATATACATTTAGATCCTAGTATAGGAGAGAAGAGAATAGAAAAGCAGGAGAAAGAAAATTAAACTTACATCATTTGCCGTTTCACGCAGATATTCAATTGTTTTTATACCTGTTTGATAAAAATAATTTTCAATAATTTCTATTATCTGATTTTTAATTATTGGTATTTGTTTGACTATTTTATAAATCATGTCTAAATCTATAGACAACAGTTTACTTTATGTTTACATTATGAAAAGTAAAACAATGAATTTTGAAATACCTTGAATATTTTCTTCATGTATCAACTTATCTATGTGATTCTGTATAATATCGAGATGATCTTTAAGAAATATTTCATAGATTAATTTTATCAATTGTTCTTGTGTCGATGATGGCAGATATGAATAAATAAGTTCCATATCTTTATTAATATACGGAGTAAACTATCAAAATAAAAATTATCAATAATTAAATATGTGTTAAATTCATATAAAAAAAAACAAATTCGAACCTTTTCCAGATATTCAATAACAGATATATTCTCTAAATCAAATATTGCTTTTGATCGGTAAAATTCTTCCGTATTTTGAAGAAATGGTTTTTCAAAATAATTTTCATAAATTTTTTCATTTAGTACTGTTATTTCTTCATCATTCAGCCATATGAACATTTTGTGAGGAAAGTCAATTGCTACTAAGATTTTCAAGAAATAAAAAAAAAAAGAAAACAGATTTAAAAATAATAAATAACTGAACATATTTTTCTTACAGTAACTTTCTATGAGAATAAAAATAAGTTTAATATCGGCAACTTGATTGTCATAATATGATTTGATTAAATCAAAACAGGTATCAGTCAATTTGTCTTTAAGAGATTTCCACATAATTTCTCGCCAGAGTAACATCGATAACTATGAAATAATTCATTTTAAATAAGCAAACAAATGAATCCTAATCTACAATGTGAGTAGCTAACAACATGTAATGCAAAAGAAAAGAAGAAATATTGATTTCTATGTCTCTTAAATAAACATGTGATAAAACGAAAAACACTTTTTGTACAGAATACGATAAACGTAAACAACATCGGTGATAAGTTGAATATTTAGAAATTGATTATTACGTTTATTTTCAATTATCTTCAGACAAATATTAATTATTATACTACTTTCTTGTCATTTTAATATTAATAGCTGACAATTTACTTTGATTATATAGTTAAAGATTAAACAAAACTACTACAACTTACAGTAAAAGTCTCATGAATAGAATTATAACCACTATTAAGTGCAAATTGCACCCACTCTCGATTGAGATAACTGAAAATAGGCTTCAATAGATTGCTTGAAAATTTATATTTATTCCATTGATCTGTATAGAATTGAAGTAGATATTCCCTTGAAATATTGTTGTTCATCTAAAGAAAAATAAATTCATTTTTCATATTATTAATAAATTAAATTAAATTTCATCGAAAAACAACAAATGTTATAACGATTATGATTTCCATTAATTACCATAAATTCTCTTAAAAATAAGAAATTAATTTTTATTTCTTTCTATTAACATTATTATACAAAATACGATTGAAAAATAGAATATACATCGAATCGAAATCAAATAAGTAACTCACTTGAAGAAGATTTTCAAGGTAATTTATCAAATAACTCTCAAAATAATAATATAGTTCACCACCTGCGCGACCGCTACTTCCAGATGGTAATGTTGCTTTTAACAAATATTTTCGTCGACCAGTAGCTGTTTCTAACAATCTGAATTCAGCTAAACGTGCTGATGCACTTGTACAATAATTATATACACGACTAGAAATAATTATATTTTATTTATCTCAGAACGTTAAACATATGAGAGACATACGTATATAATTCAATAATAGAATTTATATCACAAGTTTGATATGAAAAAATACGATCAATATCATGGAATAATTTAATTAATATTTCGTTGGATGTGTCGTTGGCAGCAACGTTATACATATTATTTTTTTTCTTTCGTGAAACAAACGTACAGAAGAGAAGAAGGAACTAATCGTAATAACAAAATTTACCTTGGAAAATAACAAGAATAAGGAAAAAACCAAGTATGAGTCATACAAAAAATATGTTTCTTGCTTTTTTTTTTCACGTTCGATAACAAAATCTAATAGAACGAAAGAATGTATCACCAACTCGCAACACAGTATAGCACAATTTTATAACACAGGTGACTAATAACATTGTAAAAGATATTTAAAATAAACTATTTCATAGAAAACATAATATTTATAATCTTTATTTTCTATAGGATCTGGAAAAACTCTTCCGATCCTATCGAAACCTATACTATCTTAATACACTTTATATTTCATACTTATTAAACTATCGCATTCTGAAAAATACAGAAATATTAAATCATATAGATTGTATTTGAATTTCAGCTAAACAGCTACTATAAATAAAAATTACATGAATAATAATAAGAAAAGAAAACAATTGTTTTTATATTTATCAAGTAAAATTTTCAGTTTAGAATAATGAATATTTGTAAATGATCAAACATACTGATTGAAAACAATAATAAATATGCTAAATTTCTATAAAACAATAGTTTGATAGTTAAATCAATATGTTTAGCATTCAGAAGTTCAACAGTAATAATGATCACACAAAAAGTAGAATCTTTGATCTTTCCTTATTCAAATCAACAAGATTCTTATATTAAATTCTTTTTTTTTATTAAAAACAAATACAATTCATAAAAATCAAAGAAAACAAAGCATATGTACATAGAGTAGTCAAAATATTCTAATAATAGCTGTCTAAAATGTCATCTTCATTGTTTTTATTTCTTATGTTGACCTATTCTAGTAGTGAAATGTCTTATGTATTAAATTATCAATACGTATTGTGACAAGTGTGTATTATGGAAATTTTTTAATGAATTTTTCCAACATCTCTGTTTTCAGACGGATAAACTGTGTATACGCACATCTATGTATAATACAATGAAATAAGTATTTAGGTTCCAACATGAGATAAGAATTCACAACAAACTTTGATCTACAGTCGTCATTCTTTAACCCTTTCCGGCCCATAGCTAAGCCGATGGACGAAATTTCTTTGAGACTCTATATCTTATATGAGCATTATGCATAGTTGATATTTTCATCGAAACTTTTTAAAAAATCTTTAGAATCATTTTCGATCCATACCCATACTCCCCGACAGGAATGGTGAAGAAATAGTTTGATCATCTCTGTGGGACAGTACGAGTATGGATCGAAATTCGCTTGAAAGCTGTCGCCAAATCAACCTTTAAAATATCACTAGGAGTTACTCCTAACTTGATTTCAATATGAAAAATCAAAGCATTTCGTAGATCACAGAAGGGCATTATTCGCCCTCCTTCTTTTAGAATAAAAGTTGTGTTCCATACATCCATCAGGCTTACTACGAGAGTGATCTCATTATGGTGATAATTCTTGTATAGATGTATGCATCGAAGTCTCTTATATATCAATGTTGATACTATTTGTTGTTGGAGCTGTACTCCCTCCCTCCTTCCGGGCAAAACATTTTTGGCGACCCTGTACATCAAAACGATTAAAACATGACGAACGAGTTAGATCGTTGTTTTTGTTTGCTGCGCCATGCGGGCGAACAACAAATATGTATCCTTATACTATTTGCGTAGCTTCATCTCCTGCTATTAGTTGAACCATCCGTAAATGATAAGAATTTGAATTTAGAACATTTTGTGTTTTAAGTATAGTACCTAAAGCAGATAAAATTTCTTGCTGTTTTAGATATTCACTATTTTGACTTCCATCAACAAAAATTATTTCTCAATTTATTTTTTTTTCCGTCGTCCACACATTGGAAGCATCAGCAATCAAGGATGCGATCAGTATAGCCAAAAAAGTAAGCTTCAAATTTTAAAATTCAAATCACTAGTATCTACATTAATCACGTAGATATTAGTGACTTCAATTTTAAAATTTAAAGCTCACTTTTTCAACCGATTAGCATACGACTTAGCGAGAAGTGTAACCCTGACTACAGACATAACCCGAACAAAATGGTAGCTTAATTCTCATATAACATATCTATATAACGCAAAGTTTTCGTTGTTGTCACTGATAACACTCCTGTAGAAAGCCAAAACATGGTTGGTATAGATAGGCCTAAGAAACAAATCATCATTGTTCAGTAGAGACAGAATGCCAGTTAATTTCTTTGCTTTTCACCTGTCTTATTTTCGCATTTGATGTCATTAGATTTCAAAAATTTTCCTCTCACTAATCGTGAAGTAAGACGGTTTGTAGTACGAGACACTTTTTATTTGTTGTTCTATGATTCATTCAAGGTCATTTGTTTATGATAGTCTGCATTATAAATATTTTTAGGTTATAGACCATGGTGAGTAGCGCATACACCTTAATAGATCGGATCTCGTTGTTTTCATTCCTTTTTATTGCCTTAAAAAAGGTGTCGATTTATTCTCATTTAATTTCATTGATTAAATCATGATTATCTTTTGATGAATCAAAACACTTTTTTTTTGACAAAATTTTTTTCTTCAATATAAACATTCATTATCAATTTAAAACACATTGTTGCTATAGTCCAGTTGTTTTTTTTGTTTGATACCGACGCATATTTTTCTAATTTCAATTGACACTACCACTTATGTTCAACATAATCTCTACAGTGAATTCTTTTATATTTGATCCAATGTTCGAAAATGAGACTTTGATCGTCGTCAATTGTTTCGATGAAATCGCCATTTGAAGACAATTCGATCTGTTTGTTAAATGACACTCAAATACCGAATAATTCTCTTCAACAATTCGATTGCTTATGTTTGTATTAGTCAGCTCGACAGAACTTTGCTTTGGATAAATAATTTAGTAGAATGTGTCTTATTTGTTTATATAGTTACACATTGTCAACATAACTTCTAGTGTTCGAATAGACAAGAGTAACATCATGTATATCATCTCTTTTACTAGTTTGAAATATCATGAGAATCACCCAGAGATGATTTCTTTCTCTAATTCTTGTAGAAAATGCGAAGGATATCTTTTGAGAAAAACAATAAATAAAACTTTACGATATATTGATCCTGAAAAATATATGAAATAAGTTATGATGCAGTACTTTAAGACATTCAGTAAATTGCTTATTTATTTTGATAATTAATTGGAAAAAAAATAAAAATAGGTAAGATAGAAAAGACTAAACTGAAAGAAAGATATATATATATATATATATTAAGAAGTTCTTTGTCTTGTCATATTTGTTTTATATGTTTGTTTTCAACTCAGTCCAAATTTTTGCATACATTGTTGTAATTTAATATCGAATCGTTGCTTATATATTGGTTGACATGAATAAAGTTTTTCCGAGTGAATTTTAGTTAAGAACTCAGTCAAAAATATGTCTGAATTAGCTTTCGTGCATATTGTGTACTCTACCAGTTCATCAGTTCGTTTTAATATCTTTTCGACATCAATGATACCCTGACCAAACAATTGATGAGCATCAGCCGACATTATATAAAGAGATTTGACTTTTTTTATTTCGGTACAAAATCCTTTTTTGTTGTTTATCTGCATTTGTACCATAAATTGAGCAGCACTATTGTCCCACCTATAGAAATATAGATACAAAAATCAATTGGTTTTTTTGTGCATCAAAAGAGAAAACTTGCCACTTAATGAACCCGTCAGGTGCATTTTGACATTTTGTAAGCGATGATATAAATTTCATCACGAAAGGTTTTAACTGAATATTCAGTTTTCTCAATGAATTGGCCAGTTGTACCAGATCAACTGGTAGTGTGCTTTGTGTACTTACTGGCATGGCCACCAAATTTTTTATTCCACTCATTCCAACACGTTGTACAGCAAGAATATCTAAGTTTGAGACGTATGCATACAATACGATGATAAAATTTACAAAGAAATTCAAATAAAAGGAAACTTAGTATTCTAACAAAGATCTACTCAATATATCGTTTTTTTCGAGGATATTATATGTTTTTAACAATGGTTTTTTTCAGAACAAATATTCTTTTCACATCCAAAACTCTGGAATTCGGTAGGTACTAAGAATCAATCAGATTATAACGAAATGAAAAAAAATGTTGCTTACAGTACCATCTACATTCTTTGATCTAAAAATCAGATAACTTAACGTCAAAAAGTTAATCCTCAGTCTAGACCAGAGATGTTGATGCAATGTTTTTTGTCGTCCCACGGGGTCCGTAAGTATCCCATGGATAGAATGTCCCACAACTTAGTTTTTATAAAACGATTTTTCCCACCTGTGGGGAGACAGCGATTTTCGGATTCAATTAATTCCGGACCATGGGCTCCCTTGACTCCACCCATAGGGTAAACAGAAAAACGATAATTTATGTTTTCAAAAATACATATCAGCACATAATGAAATAAACAATAAACGATAGCAGCAAATACACAATCAAAAAGAGAAAATGTGTTGTCAGAACGTGTATAGACCTGTGGCAGCTCCCAGTTGTAAAATATCTTTTTTGAGAACTCGGTATAACGATCACTTTTTTCCACATGAGCTGGATTATTGAACATCTAATTTTCTGCTAGGCCTAAGTTTCCGACAGTTCCATTCCGGCATACCTGTGCAGTTTAGGCACACACCTCAGATGCGGACTACAATGAGATATTTAATGACACCATCTATCTTGAAAAGAATCGATCACCAATTCCAGTTCTTCTCAAAAGAATTAATAACCAGATCTAGTTATTTTCAAAATAAATGGTGGTCAATACCAATTTTATTTCTCGATCGGGAACTGTCACATGTCTAAATGTGTAACACGCTGTATCACTAATAGCACGATAAGAAAATTTATAGAATCCCGCCACTATCTTTCTGAATCCTTATATGAATTTTAAAGATTCATGTAGACCATGGAGTAAGAAAAGTTATTGTTCCATAGATTTTCCATGGGCTCCGATCCCGATGAGTACTCCAATGAACATTCCTGATCGAGATAGTCAGAGAAAAGAAATATGACTTATCTATTATAATAAGTGAAATAGTAACATGAAAATCATCTGTCCATACAAGTGTAATTATTATCTGATCGAACAAAGATAGTGACATCATATACAGCAAAATTCAATAGATCGAACTCTAGTCACTACTGATCATGATTATCTTGAAAATTCTAGAAAAATAGTTTTCAGCGGTAACGTGTTTCCCCATATGTAGCTTTAGTTAAGCATATCCTACTTTTTCAATTGACGAAACCATGATAATTGTCACTTTTAATGTCTGACTCGTAAATTAACGTCGTCAGGTATTTATACTGCATATAAAATCAGTGATTTTTGAGATAAAAATTTTAGCTATATTTTTCTCGTCATGCCGAGTGGTAACAATATGATTAACATCTCAGCTGATCCATTGAATTTTAGATGCTCTAACGTCCCTCGATAGTGTTGTTTCACTGGCGAAAACTTGAGCTCGTTAGATAATATCGCTCGATAAGCACTCAAAGCAGGAGGTTGAATTAAGTTAAAACTAAACATTATGGATGAATTCGTAAAAATTTCCATTTTACTTTCATTTTTCATCAAACTTAATTATAGAATATTCTTTAATACAAAAATATGCAGAAGGTGCTTCAAAAACAGATGCTTACCCAAATAAGAATTTGGACTACTGTCCGGTGCATCGTTGCTATTTGGATAGTTGAGCAAAGTCAAATTTGGTACAAGAGACGAAAATGAAGTTACAGGTTTGAATTGACCACCTTCAAAAATAGACATGTTATGATGCGTTACTTTAAAAATATCTCATATATGCAGATATTCTTACCAGACATATAAAGTGCGCGAATTTTTGGTATAATTGATCGGTCTTCACTGATCGCTGTAGCAATATTTGTCATAGGTCCAAGAACTAAAATATCAACTGGGATTTTTGAATATTTCAATGTTAGTTTAATGAGTTCAATAGCACCAAATGGAGATGGCTGGAGAAAAATATTTACTGTCTGATTGAGACAAGTGGGTGACGTTATATATGTGTCGAGTTGATTCAATAACGCATCTGGGACTTTGAAATCAGACGCCAGTAATGGATTTCTGTATGATAAAATGAAAACAAAATGAAAACAAAGAAATCATGCAGTAATTTCATTTTTACTTTTTTCCATAGCCTACTCCAACACCACTTGAACATCCAATCAGATCGAGAAAGGTAAGAACATTGGATCCCGAATACAAAGGTTTGCTTAATAAAAGAAAAATTATAGCAATATTAAATGAGTGTCAACTAAATATTTGCCTACGTATATCCATCACCTACAGTTGTTATTGCAAGAATCTCAATCGTTGGTACCTTCAAAATCAATTATTACTAACATTAATAGAATACAATCATTTTTGGTACTTATTCTTACATTAAGTAAATAGTGAATTGCCCATAAATCGTCAATATCACCGTCTGTGTCGATAATGATTGGCTGCCGTTTAACATTCTGATTTATGCAATATTTAACTTTCTCCTCCATGAATGACAATGGATGACCATCAACGTAATAGTTGACAATTATCAAGAACATTAACGTTAACAAAATTCTTCGGCTTGTCATTTATTCTGTATATGACAAAACGGTTATAAGACTTAAAAAATATTGATCAAATGGCTATTCATCGAACAACACTCTTGTCAGTATGATATCGGGCGGGGCATAAGTCAGGTAGTCGACAAAAAATTGAATGTCTTCATTACGGCTCGAGCAAACGAGCTGATTTTTTTACCAATGATAGATACGCGTTCAAACTTTATGTCCATAAAGACATGCCTAGCGAGACCCTTTGTTAAGTATCACTACTGGTATCAACACAAAAATTGTACTTTTTCACAGGTAGGAAAAAAAACAATATAGTTAACAAATGGTCTCGCTAGGCATATCTTTATGGATATAAAGCTTAAACATACATCTATCATTGGTAAAAAAAATCAGCTCGTTTGCTCGAGCCGTAATGTAGATATTCAATTTTTTTTCGCACAGTGACTTTTGCGCCGCTGTGCATATTGTTTTTTTTTTCATCTGTGAAAAAGTACAATTTTTGTGTTGATACCAGTAGTGATACTTAACAAAGGGTCTCGCTAGGTATGTCTTTATGGATGTAAAGCTTGAAAATGCATTTATCCTTGGTAAAAAAATCAGCTCGTTTGCTCGAGCCCTTCATAGGGTCCAAAAACGACTTGCTGGATCCGGTCAAAGAAATGTCAGTCGTTCCGTCATTTTTTGTGCTAATACATGATTCAAACATTCATCTTGTAGGGAAATACTTTCTCTTTCATCTCATCTATTTAGAGAACCATTAGAGTCCTTAATAGCTGAAACTTTTTAATAGAGAAAATCCGGCTCCAAACTTGGATCCGGCAAGTTCAGACCCGGAGTTTTTCTTTTAAAAAATTTTGACCATCATGAACTCTAATGCTTCTCTAAATAGATGAAGTGAAAGAGAAAGTATTTCCCTACAAAATGAACGTTTGAATAATGTATTAGCACAAAAAATGACGGAACGGCTGACATTTCTTTGACCGAGTCCAAACAAGTCGTTTTTGAACCCGATGAAGGGCTCTACTTATGACCCATCCGATATATTTTCATGAAAGGTGCTCTATCTAACGAAAATAAATTTGGAAAACGCTTTTGAGTAACACATGTATTATTTATTATGAATTGTTAAAAATCTTCTCCAATGATCGAAGATGATCGAGTTACATTTATCATTGTATTCAGTTAGTTGAGTGAAATCACTTCTTTGCTAGCACAGATCTATTGATCCATTATACTAATTCGTGTCTTTCAAGAAGCAAAGACCAATTCAATTCTGCCTGGGAAAATTTAAAATTTGACTGACTTTTAATTTTGACTATAACATATATTTTTAAAATGAAAGATTAACCATATAATCGACGACAAAAGTTTCGCCAGTCTTGAAATCAAATTTTTATATTATTTTTGACGTATGAAAATAGAATGCAATACATCTATATATAGAGGAGTTCGAGACATTTACGCAGCACATAGTAGTTTTGTAAATGTTTGCTTCTTCTTTGAGCAAAGTAAAAATATGTGGATACATCCATTTTTGGATGACTTGTTGAGAGATGAGATAGCTCATGTGAAGTGAGGTCGAGTTTATCACTTTTGACCATTCAGAGAGGAGAGCTTTGGCTATGCTCCATCAACGGGCAATATCAAGAACACTGAGCACGAAATTTCGAATTCTAATTCATTCACTAGAAATCTGTCAGTTCGAAATTTTGGTCTCATATCATACAATCCATCTCATCTTCGAACAAGTTATCCAAAAATGGATGTATTCATATATTTTTACTTTGCTCAAAGAAGAAA